GCATTTTTACAAACCAGTATTTCATTTTCCTATCCTATCGTTGCCCAACATTACACCGGTATTCAGAATCAGAATACTTTATTGATCCCTGGGGGAAATTATTTTTACGCTAACTAAGAATAGTACTATATATATTTATATTTATATTTATATTTATATTTATATTTATTTATTTATTTATTTATTTATTTATTTATTTATTTATTAAGTCACTTATTAATAAATAGCTGGAAAAGAAACATGTGTAGTTGTAGCAGTAACCAGTGTGTTAAGTGGATGCGTTGTACAGGGAGATGGCCACAGGCAGGAAAGATTTCCTGTGTCGTTCAGTGGTGCTTTTCAGTAATCTCAGTCTCTCACTGAACGAGCTCCTGTGACTGACCAGCATGTCATGGAGTGGGTGGGATTACTGTGAACAGTATGATATAGCCCAGCCCTAACTGGCATACTGACATTTTCTACTTAGCTTAAACTAGAGCTTATTCCAGTTGTTAAAAACTAGCCTATAGTTATGAGTACAGTGTCTGATTTGGGCTAAACTCAAAATTGGACTAAAAGTAGATAAATCAGAAAACAAAACTCAGAAAACGATAAGGGTTTACTAGTACTAATATAGGCCTAGCAAATGGACCTCCAGTTCAAATAAAATTAAGACTAAATTTACTCAACACCAATCATGCAGCAGGAAATGTTGACACACAATGCACCTACAAAAGGAGGAGTAAAAGCTAGTGAAATATAATCACTGTACCACCAAAATCTAGTGATCATGCCAGACTGTGTATGCTGAAACAAACACAAACTTAGATTGTATTTGATTGAACAAGTATGCATTATAAATTCATCTTATTTGTAAGACAGTGTACGTGATATATTTTAACAGCAAACTTGATCTACTAATATAGTTAAAGAACTTCAAAAACCTTGCATACTGCAGTGCAACCCTAGAGATAAAGTTCTTTTTGATTGCATTTGGGTAATTGCAAAATGCCTATTAGACTAACAAATAAGCATTGACCTTAGAGGGTAGAACAATAAAGTGTTACTTAAAGCATGTGTTTCCATTTCCTTCGCCTATGGAGAATAACAGAAGAGCTGCTTTCAACTAAAGCACGTTGAGAGAAAAACAGCCACTGGAACAGAGCTGACAATAATTCACTGTGTTTTAACAGCGTAAGTGTCACCCCATTGGAATTTAATGAAAGGGAATGTATGTTTAAAAAGCTTCTGGGCTGTTGTTATAGGTCAACTTGGAGGTTTTGTGAATCACTGTGCCTATATGAGGAATGCTCAACCACGAGAGAAAAATTAGTTGAAGATCAGGTGAAATTTTCTTTGATTTTTTTTCAATAAAGCTGCAGCTACATGAGTCAGCCTTCCGACACACTGTTGTACAATGGCACATTACTGTGTTGGTTACTGTACTGCAAAAGACAGGGCAAAGGCACTTGAGAGAATTTGGAGTGTGTGTGTGAACCAGTTGGCCCACACTCCTTCAAAAGCTGTCCATGTTGCTTTTTAATGTCTGCTGTTTCCTGTGAATGAAAACCTGAAGTGATGGCCTGTATAAAATGTAACAATAAGATGTACCCACCTTTTATTGTGTTTTCTTTTTCTATCCACAGGACTACACGTTGACTATGTATTTCCAGCAGTATTGGAGGGACAAGCGCCTGGCCTATGTGGGAATCCCTCTCAACCTGACACTTGACAACAGGGTTGCTGACCAGCTCTGGGTCCCCGACACCTACTTTCTCAATGACAAGAAGTCTTTCGTCCATGGAGTCACAGTCAAAAACCGCATGATCCGCCTGCATCCAGATGGGACTGTCCTCTATGGACTCAGGTGTGTTCTGCTTGTCACCGCATTATCTTCACAGGTCTTCTTCTTAATGAGACACTGGGACTTTTGACTGGGCTACATTTTAGCATTCTCAGGATTCCATGTTGTACATTATCTTATGACTCAGTCACACTAGAGTAAAAATAGGACGGCAACCTCCTTGCAACTACAAAAAAAATGGTGGTTCATTTTGCCAAAATTTCCTTGTTGCAACTCAAAATGGTTCTCAGTAGTTTGTATGGACCCACATGCTTATATGCATACCAGACAATGTTGGGCATGTTTCTAATAAGATGATGGATGATGTTCTGGGAGATCTTCAACCAGATCTGGACCAGGGCTCACTGAGTTCCTGGACAATCTGAGGTGCAACTTGGCAGTGTTGGATGGACTGAAACATAATGTCACAGAGTTGTTCTATTGAATTTAGGTTGGATGAACATGAGAGTCAGTGGTAATCTTGAGTCCCTGCCTACTCTCACCATTGTTGTGCACCTGGAGTAACCCAGGACCCACTGCACCAGCACAGGGTCTAACAGTCGGTCCAAGGATTTCATCCTGATACCTAATTGCTTTCAGGGTGTTGTGACATCAGCCTGGTGTTCAGGGTGAAACTGCTCTCATTGGTGACAAGTGGCCAGAATCTGCCAATTATACTATTCTATGGCAAATGCCAATCTGGCACCACAGTTCTGGGCAGTGAGAATAAGGCCCAATAAAGGACGTTGGTCCCTCAGGCCATCTTCATGAAGTCTGTTTCTGATTGCTTAGTCAGCGATATTAACACCAGTGGCCTGCTGAAGGTCATTTTGTAGGGTTCTGGCACTGCTCATCCTGTCCATCTTTGCACAAAGAAGAAGATACCAGTCCGGGTGATGGGTTAAGGACCTTCTACAGCCATGTCCAGCTCCAGAGTAACTGTCTGTCTTATGAAATCTCCAGTCTCCTCCTGAGACTGTGCTTTGAGACATAGTAAGTCTTCTGACAACGACAAGTAATGATGTGCTATCCCCCAGGAGTTGGACTACCTGTGCAAACTCTGTAGGGTCCAGGTATCGCCTCATGTTACCTGCAGAGAGACTGACCCTAGCTAAATGCAAAACTAATGAAAAAACAGTCAGAAAACATGAGGAGCGGAAAAATGTCAGTGGCTGTAAAACCATTCCGGTGTTCAGGGTTGTCTCATTGTTGCCCCTTTGGTGCACCTGTTGTTAATTTAATCAACGGCAGTACAGTTGTAACTAATTAACAACCCCCTCTGCTTCTTAACTGACCAGATCGATATTCCAGAAGTTTAACTGAGTTGATGTTATGAATAAAAAAGGGCTCCTTTTAGTTTTGTTAGCAGTGAATATTCCCCTTACGCACCCGCCTCAGTTTCTCGCTCTAACAACAATATCATTTTCCTGTTGTTATCAAATCCACAGCTTATGCAAACTTGATCCCACATGACTTGCTATATAGCTAAAGTTTCATATAGCTTAATCCTTGGTGCCATTAAGTGTCGTTGAGGCCCCAAACAATTAAAAACATATCAGAGAACCACGCTGTTGCACTGCATGACACCTGCCTTGATTACCATAAATGTGCACTGCAGTTTATTTTGAATCCCACATACCTCATTATGTTGCAGTAAACACTCACAAGAACACCAAGTGTGTATTTATGCTCCACTTAAAAATAGTCCCTTATTTTAGAGTTTAAGGAGATTATTGAGGTTTTTGTATATATAATTTAAAAATTCTACTAATTTTTTGTGACACATACTTTCATCAAAAGTAGAGCTTAGAGTTTCAAAGACAAAGTTAAGCAGTCTAAAAGTAATACAATACACTCGAAAGCATTGTTGATTTTGGTCATTTTATTTCATAGAGGAAAATACAGAGTGACAGCAACCTTATCCTTCAAAATATTTTTTCTTAAAATGAGCCTCTATATTTAGATAAATGAAATGATGAAAAGTTCCTATGATTATATATAGTCAGAAAAATAATAACAAAAGAACTGCATAAGGCAGGTTTATTAAAAATCCCAAATCCAAAAATAGAGAAGACCTGAGAACAAGAGTGAGAAGAGAGCACAACCTGACAAGCGGAGAAAAGGGTAATAAGGAACAGGTGAACGTAATCAGACCCTACCAAGGGAAAGAACAAAATCAACAAAGTTGATCAAAACAAAAAAGGAAGTAAATTGAATCAAAATCAAACTCACAAAGTCAACAGTAACCATGAAAGCTGTTCTGGACAATTTCTGTGCCCTGCAAATAAGCAACACTTATCACGCAAAAAGCAACAAAAGGATGATCAGGGTCAAGAATATTCCCTAATGTTTTTCAGAGCCAAGTTAATTCTTTGTGTTCAAAGCCTTGTTTTGGCACAGTCCTGCAGCAGCTGAGAGGATTTTGTGTCATGCTGAAGGGCATGTCAGTGTTAGCATTTTTATTATTTTATTTTTAAAGAGGGCTGCCGTTAGAGTTCATCTACGGCAAGAAGTGCGGACAGGTTAGACATGATCCACAATGCAAAGTTCAGCCTTCAGCTATTGTTTGATGTTTGTTTCATAAAGCCCTTGTTTTGAATTTCCATTGATCTTTTTGACAAGCAGGTTCAGAAGAGCTAGTGTGACCTGTTATTATGGATGCAAGCTTTGAATTATTAGAGCAAAGCAAAAACATGTGTGTGTCTGTGTGTATGTGTGTGTGTGTGCACTTGCACACTTGCATTTGCATGTGTCAGTGTTCATACTTTATAGTCAAGCAGCTATGCTTGATTATGCAAGTGGAGTTCATAGCATTTAGCCCTGTGGACTACTTATAGACCTCTCAGTGCTTTAAGAGATCAAAAGGAGAGGGAGACGTGTGACGTGGTGTTTGTGATATGAGCTGTTGCATAAATGAATGCCAGGTAGAGCTGAGTGATATGTTGAATGCAGATTTTTATCGTGGTTTCAAGGCAGCCACTCTGTATTTGTGTGTTTGCTGTTTATTAGGGAAAGCAGCAAAAAATACAATTTTAAGCTCTCAAAAGCAGTTTGTATTTACATTGTAAGTTGTATTTTGCCACAATGCTGTTTGTCATTTTTGCAAATATGGTCTATTAATTGCATTTTACAGAAACTGTCTGTAATTTAACTGAGGGTACATTAGGGGGCATTAGCCAGATGGTCCTCTTTGACAAAAAAAGCCCACATTTATTTTAGTCTTCACAAATATAGTATCCAAAATATGTCCAATTAGAGAAAATAAATAAATAGATTTTATGAATGTCTCAAGCAGCAGTTTCCTGATAAGATGCATGCCTGAAGTAATGTTAATAAAAAATAATAATAAAAATGTTCAAATATTCTTTATATTCGTGCAGCAATTTTTTTTTGTAAAACACAGAGTTACAAATTGCTTTACAGTTAAAAGCCACGTGTTAAAGATAAGTACACATGTTCAAACATATGTACACATAATCAACCATATGGTGAGACATTCGTGCCAACACACGAGCTTCCATGCACGCAAATAGCTGAAAACTAAGGCTCAAAGTAAAGCTGGAAAGATTAAATGAAAGGTAAAAAATGTGCAACTACCAGTCGTTTAAAACAAATCACACACTCAGCCCTCCTGATAGCAGCTTGTGGTGCCCCAAATGCAGAATACAGATTCGTATTGTCCTACAGTCAAAATCTGGAACGGTTTTGGTAAAATAATAAAAACTGAACTGTACAATTTCGGGCTTTAGTTTCACAGGATCCCATTCACTCTGACACAAGATACAGTCAAAGAGTTATTCACTTTTCAGAAGATCTTTTCTACAAGTTAATGTTAGCTTCCTTACTAACGTCTTTGGGATACTGTAGTAGTAAGATAATAGGCTAGCAATTGAATTTGCATTGAATACAGACTACTCGAGGGCACAAGAGTACTGTTAGCCTAACATTACTTGTTACTCAAATAGATGGTATTAAGGATTGACCCAGCTATACCTTGAAGTTATAAACTGGTTTCTGAAGTATCATTTTGAAACCTTGAAATGAGGGTTCTGTTGTTGCTGTCTTGGTTTGAAAAAATCCAGTGTGACAAGGAGGGGCAGGTCTGACCATGATACCGAACACTCAGAGTACCAGGGATAATCCTGCTGTTTGAAACACAGCGTGATTGTGATTTAAATACAGATTTAATGTTTTATTCTGTATGACCCAGAA